TTATAAGAGATTTTACTGATCTGTTCTTAAGATCTATTTAGAGAATATAGTTGAGAAACTCTGTGAGTTGAACAGAGAACATCTGAATTATAATTATTAATATTAGAAAAAGAGATGAGAAATCTGATAAAGACTACTCACAGTACTTTATAAAATTATAATATAAATTAAGATCTGTGAAAACAGAGCTCTGAAATAAGATCTGAATGATAATATTTATAAAGAGACTGAATAAAAATATATAAAATAAGCTTATTAAGTAAGACTCTAAGTTCTTAACTCTGAAGAAACTGATAACTCTTATTCACTACTTACAGATCACTGTGAGAGTTACAGATCTATAGAGAGTGAATTATTAATCAGTCTTATAAGAGTCAGAATAATAGAGAACAGATTTATTAGAAAAAGATAATAAGATATAAAGAGATTTATATCTGACTACTGAGCAGAGAGAGAGAGCTTTATAAGCTTTTATTAATAGAGTGTATAGTAGAGAGATTAAGAAAAAGAGTCTCTACTTTATTTATTTTAAATTAGAACATTTTCATACAAACTGTTTAGATAAATTAAAATAGAAATTTAAGAAGTTATAGACAGAGTGAGTAACAGTCTTCTTAAGAGTCTTAAAGCTGATATCTGAATTCATTACTTTCTTAATAAAAATACTTACTTATAAGAAGAGACTGTACTACAGTACTGCTGTCTCATAAGTATGAAAAGTATTAATAAACTCAGAATTTCAGGTCACTATAGTGTCTCTAAAGCTTATGAAGTGAATAAGTTAAATAATGAAAACTGAGAATCAGCTCTTATAGTAAGCAGAATATAAGAACTCAGATCTGAGAGCTGAGAAACTTATAAGAATTATCTTTGAATTACAAGATCTCTTCAGAATCTGAAGAAGATTTGTAAAAACTATGATTATTATAAATATTACAGATAATATGTACTTAAAACTTATATAACTTTAAAGACACAATTCACACATAGCTGTTTATAAGTCAGGTTTATACTTTCAATCAGTGTTAATAGACTTACTTACAGAGATAGAATCAGTTAATACTGCAGAGTTAATTAGAGAAGATAAGCTCATCCATATAATAACTTTATAAATGTCTGAGAACTTTGCAGTCATGAAAACTAAGTTTCAGATATTAGAGAAATACTAAGATCTTATAAAGATATTTAACTTAGTAAAGTCAGCTGAGCTTTCTTCTCACTATGAGAAGAATCTGATAATAGATTTAATAGAAGAGTAGAAACTCTTCTAAGAATTAATTTATAAGCTCTCTTATTATAAGACAGAGATCTTACAGATCTATATAAAGAAGAATCTGAAGAATGACTTTATTTAATCTTCACAGATCTTTATAAGAGTCTCTGTGATATTTATAAAGAAGAAGAATAAAAATCTCAGATTATATATAAACTACTATAATCTGAACTTTAAGATAATAAAGAGTTATTATTCTCTATCTCTGATTGAGAATATAATCAATTATCTTACAGAAGCTGTTATATTCATACAACTGAATATAATTAATATATATACACAGCTGTGAATACAGTCTGAGAATGAATAAAAGACTGTCTTTAGAACTGTACTGAGATTATTTAAATATTTAATGATGTCTTTTAATTTGACTAATACTCTCACAGTATTTCAGTCTTTTATTAATAAAATACTTCATATATATCTGAATATCTTTATAATAATATATCTGAATAATGTAATGATATACTCTGTGAAGAAGAAAGAACACACTGAGTATATATAAAGTGTGTTGAAGATCTTAGATGAGACAGAACTGTATATTAAGCTTATAAAGTACAACTTCAATGTCTATTAAATTAATTTTCTAGAATATATAATTATTGCAGATAATATTCAGATGAAATCTTCACAAGTTAAGACTATTCTATTATAATCAGAGTTAACTAGTATTCATGAGATTCAGATCTTTCTAAGCTTTGTGAATTTCTATAGATAGTTTATCTTTGTATTTATAAGAATCATCTTAACTCTTATAAACATACTGAAGAATGAAAATAAGAAGAAGTTATTCTATAAACAGAGAATAAAAAGATTATTAAGAAGAGAGAGTTATAAAAACTTTCTTATCTCAGAAGCTTATAAAGTCTTTATAAGATTAAAACAGATATTTATAGATATAGTGATACTATTTCACTTTGATTTCTTACTCTTAATCAGATTGAAGATAGATATTTTTTTCTTTATAATTTCTGAAATAGTCTTGTAACTACAGTTAAATGAGAACTAGATTTCAGTGATTTTTTTCTCACAGAAGATATAAGTTATAAAGATTAACTATAATATTTATAATCAGAAGCTTCTTATAATAGTGAAATTCTTTCATCACTGATATCACTACTTTGAGAACCTTGTAATAGTGATTACTATTAGAACTGATTATAACAGCTTATAATAGTTTACTTCAATTAAGAAACTCTTACAGTAGTAGATTTACTGAGCTCAGAGACTGAGTAAGTTCTGATTCAAGATAGAATATATTAAGAGAACTAAGAATTCAGTGAATAAACTCTCTCATAGATCAGACTATGTTAAGAAGATCAGAATAACAGATATAGAGAGACTAGAGAAGATAGAAAAGCTTTATAAGATACTCAGACTGAGTATTATAAAGAGATTAACTGAAGAGTCTCTCAATTCTCTGTGAGAGAAGAAAAAGAAGAAAGAAAAGAAGTTTGTATAACTACTCTCTATAATACTGAGAGTTAACACTCTGAGAATCTTTATGAGAATTCTTGTTGAGAGTATCTATAATCTGAAGAGTTTACAGACTTTGAGAAGTACTGTGAAAGATCTGATATAAGAGAAAACAGAGTATAAGTCTTTATAAGATCTTCTATTCAGATTATCTGAACTGTAATTAAAGAATGAATATACTCAGTAGACTGACCGGCGGGACCATGAATTTCACATTTGATCCCATTTGGTCTGATCTCATACATTTCTTGGCGTGAGTCCCACCAGGACCAAGTCTCAAAAAAATCTGAAAATGAACCATTTCTGA